GTTGCTTGTAGGGTTCAGGGGATCTGGTAGTCGAGCAGTCTCGACTAGAGCTTTCTTTCTTGTTGTTATTTTCTTTTGTTAATGGAAACATTTTGTAATTTTTTGTTTACTTACTAATATAGTTTATAGCTTAAGTTACCTGTTTTCATTAAATTTTTTTTTTTAAATTAATATTCTTACTGTTTTTATCTCGCTTCAGAGCAATAAATTAAACATTTTTCCCTGTGTGTTTCTTGCCAAACTGTAGATAATACTGTACCATCTGATTTAGAGTGACTTCATATTTGCAGTTACAACGCGCCTTGCTGTTGAGTGTGCTAAGGAGTCTGATTGACTCGGCCGAGCTGAGTCCAGACTTTCCAGAGCCTGTTTATCTGGACTGCAACAGCAGTATTAAAGCAGATAGTGAAGCTGCAGCCAAAAGCCTTTGGCTGGAGAATGTACACTGGAACAACTTTGTGGGGTATGTGCCAAGCAGCGAGGATCCCTATACCAGCGAGGCGCTGAGTGAGGCAAGCGATGAGGAGTCGGTGCCACATTTGACGTATTTGGCCAACATTTCGGCAGGCTACTATTCCAGTGAGCATGAAGCAAAGACGGATTTAGCCATTTGGGTATCTGGCACTCTACGACTTCTCAATGAGACAATTAGTCCAACTAGACGGTTTTTTCGAATTGGCACCGCAGAGAGCGTGCCGTGGAGCTACTATCGACGCAATCCAAACACTGGTGAGCTGATTCTCAGCAAAATGGGTACTCCCATCTGGGAGGGCTACTGCATCGATTTTATAAAACGGTTAGCAGAGAAGCTCAACTTTGACTACGAAATCGTTGCACCCGTAAAGGGGCACATGGGCGACCGCAACGAACGGGGCGAGTGGGATGGTGTAATTGGCGATTTGGTAAGCGGCGAGACGGACTTAGCCATCGCAGCACTTAAAATGTATTCGGAGCGTGAAGAAGTGGTTGACTTTTTGCCTCCCTACTATGAACAAACTGGCATCTCTATAGTGATGCGAAAACCGATGCGACGCACCTCACTGTTTAAGTTTATGACGGTGCTGCGGCTTGAGGTGTGGTTGAGCATCGTTGCCGCCCTGGTGGGCACAGCGTTGATGATCTGGTTCATGGATAAGTATTCACCCTATAGCTCACGCAATAATCGCGACGCTTATCCATATGAATGCCGGGAGTTTACGCTTCGCGAAAGTTTCTGGTTCGCGCTAACCTCATTCACACCGCAAGGCGGCGGTGAGGCACCGAAAGCCGTCTCCGGACGCTTGCTGGTTGCTGCATATTGGCTGTTTGTGGTGCTTATGCTCGCCACGTTTACGGCCAACTTGGCTGCGTTTCTTACGGTGGAACGCATGCAGACGCCTGTGCAGTCGTTGGAGCAGCTGGCGAGACAATCTCGCATTAACTATACGGTGGTCAAAGACTCCGACACGCATCAATACTTTATAAATATGAAGTTCGCCGAGGATACGTTGTATCGCATGTGGAAGGAGCTGGCATTGAATGCATCCAAGGACTTTCGCAGGTTTCGAATTTGGGACTATCCCATTAAGGAACAGTTCGGACATATTTTGCTAGCCATTAATAGCTCGATGCCGGTCGCGAATGCGACAGAAGGATTTCAAAATGTGGATGCGCATGGCAATGCGGACTATGCTTTCATACACGATTCAGCAGAGATCAAGTACGAGGTGACTAGAAACTGCAATCTGACAGAGGTTGGTGAGGTGTTTGCCGAGCAACCCTATGCCGTTGCCGTGCAGCAGGGCAGCCATCTTGGTGTAAGTATTAGATAATATTCATATGAATATCTGTTCACCTAGATTTATGGGTAGGATGAGCTGAGCTACGCAATTTTGGAACTGCAGAAGGATCGCTTTTTCGAAGAGCTCAAAGGAAAATACTGGAATCAGTCAAATCTACGCCTGTGTCCGCTGTCTGATGACCAGGAAGGAATCACCCTGCAAAGCTTGGGTGGTGTTTTCATTGCTACCTTATTTGGCCTTATTATGGCCATGCTAACGCTCGTCATTGAGATAATGTACTATCAGAAAAAGCAAAAGTCCTTGGTGCTGGTAACCCAGGTTAAGCCTCTCGAAGCAAGCAACCCCAACAAATTTTCCTGGCTTAACACACAAGGGGCAGACAAGGATATAAAAAAAAAAATGAAAACACCAGACAAGAAGCCAACTAAAGTGACACCGCCACCTTCATTTGAAGCTGCTACAATTCGAGACAGGAAGACTGCTGGTGCTGTAACGCTGTGTACTGGAAAGCTAAGGCCCAGTGGTCGAGAACATGGGCTACATTTTCGCCGAGAGCTGACCGACACGCAGCTTCGCATAGCTTATATAGAATAAATTGATCATAGTTACATATATACATACATATGTATATCAATTTTTATTAGCTGTTGCCACTATCATGCTTATGTGTTACTGTCCTTTAAAGCTCATTCATAAAAGTGGATATGGTACATACAATTTTTATAAGGTCCGTTGTCTATCTGTATGTTCATTTAAATGTAAACCTGTGCGACGCATTGGGACTAAACACTTGCAATTTACAATACATACATACATACATGCATATGTAAAGTTATGTATGTATATGTGAGTTATTTGTTAATTAACCATTGTTTTAAAACGCGAGTCTAAATTACATGGTTATTTTTTCATAAAATTCTTCTAATGTAATACTGTACTAATACATATATGTATGTACATATGTACATATACATATGTACATACATATGTACATATGTATGTATATATTTTTTCTGTTGACTTCTTTTGATTAAGCAAAAAACTACACATTGTATGTACATACATATGTACATATTTAAAATCGAAGGCGAGGGAAATAAAACACAACGGTATCTTTCAATGTTGTGGGGCTAGCAACGTTTCGATAGCCAATAATTATTGTTCAGTTGATATTCCTACATCTTTCTGTTTGTAAATTTAAAATAGCTTAAATAAATGCCTTGCTTTATATAGCAATTCAAATTGTTTGCTACCTTTTCAACATCAAAAACATGCAAAAATAAAAAATTGTTCAAATGTCTCAATTTTGCCTATTGACCGAATTAAGTTTTATCACTGAGCAAACAGTGGTTTTATTTATCACATACATATGTACATATGTATGTACAGTGGCTCACACCTTATTTCGTGCAGCAGCATAGTACAACTTTGAAAC